CTAGCTAAATATTTGAAAAGATAAAATTAATATGATCTGACCAGAACTATGGACTAAAGTTTATGGATCGAAATATAAAGAGTTACGCTGGGCTATGGATCCAAAAATCTTGAAATGTTATAATATTTGACTTTTTTGTTTAGAATAATTGTTTAATATAGATATACACATACAAATATAAAGTACATAAAAGTGCGTCCATATTTTTGAGCCCAAAAAAAAAAAAGTGCGTCCATATTTCCGGTTGGTGGTTGAAGACTTGAAGAGGCCTTCATGGCTTCATGCCTTCATCAATTCCATCAAGTGACATTTTTCAATTTCTGAAAAATGATACTAGATGTTATTTTAAAGTCTTTATAATATTGATAACTTGATATTATGGATCGTATTGGTAATGCAAGAACATACAATTTTTTTTATAATACAGTATAATTTATGGAAACACACTTATATTAGTTTATAGCCAATAATTCGAAACTCGATTTAGTGGGAACGCATACGTTTATAACGTTATATCACTCGATAACTACATGAAAAAATGTCACATTAATGATATGACGATCACATTAACTGTATGACGTGAAAAAAAATTAAATGATTTCTCCTTTTCAACTTAAGGAAATATACTTTTACGGATAAGGTCATATTTATCCAGAATTACAATATACTAAAGAAATAAATATCAAGAATTAAGGAAATATTACAAAATTTACTTTAATAAAGAAATTGCAATACTTTAAATGGTATATATTTATCACAATTACTACTTACACAGTTACACGTAATTAACAGATAAGATTAATGAATTCATCCATTTTATTAAAGTTTCAGAATATCCAATAAATAAAAAAGAGACAATGGACAATAATGTAATAAATATAAGACCCAAACACTACATATTTAGACATTATATGCTGCATATAAATAAACAAAGATATAACAATTTTTTATTTGTTGCCTAAAACGAAAAACAGAGAGATACTGGTCAAATATATCATGTGAACTAATTTCCTAATAACATTTTATAATTATCAAAATAGTCAAAATTAAAATCGTCAAATAAGTC